ACGAGTAACATACAAGTACACACGAGTAACATACGAGTACACACGAGTAACATACGAGTAACATACAAGTAAATACGAGTACATACGAGTACATACGAGTAAAATACGAGTACATACGAGTAAAATACGAGTACATACGAGTAAAATACGAGAATTAGCACGCTTTCTTTAAAGTTTCTTTCACTTTCACACTTTCACTTTGGCTTCGTATTATGTTCATGTTGTAAATGCCTTATTGACATAGGCGTACGAGACAGGGGGCGGGGGGGGGGGGACCAACTGCCCCCCAAAATTTTGGAAAACCATGGAAATTCGAGCAAACGCTAGGAAAAATCAAGAAAATTCGGGCAGATTTATGAGAAAATATGTTAAAATCAGGTTATTTCTTTACAATTCTCCATAAAAATTCAGGCAAACTTTCAACTTCCCCCTCCCCCCCCCCAGAAAACATCAGCCCCGTTCTCCTATGCGTATTGATGGATTTCGAAGCCTCGCACGACGTAGAAAAGGTAATTCATTAATATAGAATAAAGATTTGTATGTTCTAAGACTCTAAAAAGGTTTAAATGTAGTATATTGCTCACAGGCTGTCAGAGAGTTTTTGTAGTACATGAAAGTGCATGTTTGCCATGTTGTTTATACGTCTGTAGTCTATGTGTTTTGCAAATTTAATACGTCAATTGTACACCTGTTTTCAACAGGGAAATATAAAATACTTAGGGTTCTTAGGGGAGCTGGTGGATTCTAAAATTCAAACAGCATAATAAAAATGACCCTCCCTTTTAATGTGTTTAAAAATGTAGTCCGCCCCTTTAGAACAGTCTGAAAATTTTTCACCCCCTCCAACATTAAAGTTAAGAAGAACATAGTATGGCCGTATGGTAGTTCTTCCCATCCTATTCTTTTGTGTGCTCTTTACAACCAGGGGCGTAGAGAGGACCTTCAACTTGGGGATGCTGGACAGGATTTAGCCAACAGGGGGGAGGGGAGGGTGAAATAAAAAAAATCCACAATATAATTGTGTATAACCTTGTCTAAGTAAGTAGATATGGCCCCAAGAAGAAAGGGTTCACTTTAGGTTTTTTTATGTAAAATATATTTACTTTCAATCATCATTCGGGCTTATATACGTATAAACAACATGGCAAACATGCACTTTTATGTACTACAAAAATTCTCTGACAGCCTGTGAGCAATATATTACATTTAAACCTTTTTAGAGTCTTAGAACATACAAATCTTTATTCTACATTAATGAATTACCTTTTCTACGTCGTGCGAGGCTTCGAAATCCATCAATACGCATTGGAGAACGGGGCTGATGTTTTCTGGGGGGGGGGGAGGGGCATTTGCCCGAATTTTTATGGAGAATTGTAATGAAATAACCTGATTTTAACATATTTTCTGATAAATCTGCCCGAATTTTCTTGATTTTTCCTAGCGTTTCCCCGAATTTCCATGGTTTTCCAAAATTGGGGGGGGGAAGTTGCCCCCCCCCCCCGCCCCCTGTCTCGTACGCCTATGTCAATAAGACATTCCCAACATGAACATAATACGAAGCCAAAGTGAAAGTGTGAAAGTGAAAAAAACTTTAAAGAAAGCGTGCTAATTCTCGTATTTTACTCGTATGTACTCGTATGTACTCGTATTTTACTCGTATGTACTCGTATGTACTCGTATGTTACTCGTGTGTACTCGTATGTTACTCGTGTGTACTTGTATGTTACTCGTGTGTTACTCGTATGTACTCGTATGTTACTCGTATGTACTTGTGTATACTTGTGTGTTACTCGTATGTTACTCGTATGTACTCGTGTGGTGTTTTAGTCACGATCGTTTTTAATGGCCCTGCGAGAACAAAGGGAATACCCGCAATCATGATATTATAAGGTAATAGCATAAAAAGGAGCGAATTAGCTATTGAAAACGTCCCGCCCGATGAGCGTCGTTTAGTAAAATTCCCTTGGGCGCCGCTTGATTCGGGTCATTTAGTAAAATTCCCTCAGGCCCTCGGGAATTTTACTAAATGACGCTCATGCTATTACTTATAATTAACGAAGGTTAGTCACAGCAACGAGTTGCTGCAAAGATAGAAGTGACGAAAGGTGCTGTGCAGCGAATTGCGGAAAGGTTCAGAAAAAAAGCAATCCAATTCCACCCGTAAACTTCAAACTTTCATCGGTAAAATGTACTCTTTCCAGTTTTCTACTCTGTAAGTTTTGTACTTTTTGGCCCATAACAATCTCTCGCGCTTATTTATAGGACGTAGCAACGGTTTAGAAACTGCAGCTCTTCCTTTGAGCCCACTTGCAGCCAATCTCCTTCTTACTGTTGTTTTGCTAATTGGTTTCTCTCGGATGGCGTTAATTTACGACTAAATATTACCAGCAGTTGTTCTTCTATTGCGCAAAGAAGGTAATTTTATGAACTGATCTTATTGCTGTGTAGTACTCCTTGGTCCCCCTGAATTTGGTAGGCTGGAATTATTGGATTGCGTTTTTCTGAACCTTTCCACAGTCCGCTGCACAGCACCTTTTGTTACTCCTATCTTTGCAGCAACTTGTTGCTGTGACTAACCTTCGTCAACGGGAGCAATAATCTGCTTCACATGCGTGTAGAGGATTAGAAAACTTATTTTGAAATTATATATTGCAAAATATTTCACCAGAAAATGTGGGAGACAATTTCAGATCTGAATGTGCATGTTCAAGTAGTTAAAGCAAGTGTATTTTTCAGGAGATACACTCTTCGCAAGATTTTGCCAAAAATTGGGACTGGACTCATTCTTTCGCCACCTAGTGTATATATATTAATATATATTCAACAAAACTGAAAACACTCAAGTGAAAATGCTTTGGACAGAATTGAAATCTGACAAACAGGACAAACAGTGAAACAAACAATCAGACACACAGGGTACTTCAACAGCCAATCTGCTACGGTGAATGAACAACGCGATTAGGTAAAGATCACAAAAATCATTATCGTGTTAAATGATGACTGATAATGAAATGCAATTCTAAAGAACATTCTCTTTTACGGTTAAGATTATGCAATGTGCAAAAAATATGGGGGGACTCAGCCCCCCCCCCCCAAGTCAACGTGGAATTTTAACAAGGGGGGCGGATCCCTGAGCACCCCCTCCACTACACCACTGAGTGGTATTTTTGTCCATGTTTGGCGCATAAAACCATAGATAAAGCCCAGAAAACGTCGGTCCTGAGATTCCAAGATTAATTAATTTTCATGAGGTTATATATTAACCAGTGAACTCAAAAGACCTGGAACGATAACTCCTATGTTCAAGTGCTATGATTGGTTGAAGCCAATTTGAAGCTCAAAGCGGGAACCGCGCGGCGAAAATGCACTTTCAAAAAGACTAGGGTGAGTTACGAGGAGTGCGAAATTCAGTCAAAACATTGTTTGAGCGAAAATTAGCAAGAAAAATCCTTTTTTCACCGAAAGACTTCAAGTTAAAATATCCAAACCAGTTTTTTGGATAGTTCTAACTTGCTTGCACTTAGTTGAAGCAAAACTTTGAAGGGTAACATTTTTGTATTGTTACAGTCAATTTCAGCTGACTTTTCACTCAAATGTTCCGAACTTCGTTCCGAACTTCGCAAATTCGTTGCCAAGTTCAAAAGTTCATAAAAAAAGCATAATTTCATGATGGCGGCTCGCCATGGTGTTCCGTCCGTCTTATTTTTATTTTTGCCCTTGATTTTGTTTTACATGCTTTTTAATGCTACAAATCTATGTCAGAAAGCGTTGTTAAACAAAGAAGAGTATCGTCCTGGATTATCAAGAGTCTTTAAATGTTCAAAACGGAGATTTTTAAAGTTAGTTGTGCAATACACTACAAATGGCATCTCGACCTTCAACCCAACTCATACAAATATTGAGCTGCTGATTTCTGGTGATGTAGAGCGAAACCCAGGTGATGGCGTTGATAATTATGATACTACACAAGTAAAGTTGCCGGATAAAGGCCTAAGAATTGGTCAATGGAACGTTCAGCACTTAACAGACTCGAAGTTTGAACAGATAAATTTAATTTTGAGTACATGCAATAACATCGATATCTTATTCTTATTGGAAACATTTCTTAAGCCTTCGAAGCCTGATTCGGTGTATAATATTCCTGGCTACAGTTTATATCGGAAAGATAGACATGGGGCGAAAGCTGGTGGTGGCTTATTGATGTATGTTGCTGACAGAGTCAAAGCGAAAAGAAGATACGAGCTCGAAGATGACTTCGTCGAATCATTTTGGTTCAATGTGTGCCCTCATAACTCGAACAGACCAATTTTAGTAGGGGCTCTTTACCGTCCACCCTCTGCAAATGCAGACGCTGACTTAAATATCGAAAATCATATTGAATCAGTGTATCTAAAGAGTAAAGAGATAATTTTGGTCGGTGATTTCAACATCAACTATCCGGATCAGAGTGCCTATTCTAAGCATCGATTAGGTTTTTTAAGGGTCTGAATATGTCTCAGCATGTGAAAGTTGTTACAAGACCAGCTAGCGAGTCCTGTTTGGATCATGTCTACACAACAAATTCTAAATTTATTTCCAACCTTGTTGTGCCCGACATTGGTTTATCTGATCATTTTCCTGTGTTTGTCTGTCGTAAATATTTTGACCATAATAAAGACCCTACTCATAAAACCATAAAATATTTCGACTTTAAGAACTTATACACAGATGCCTTGCTAAACGATCTTAAAGACTGCCCATGGGACAGTGCTTTTGTTTTCGACGATGTTGATGACATTGTCGATACGCTTCAAGTCCTTTTAAGTCAGGTACTGAACGAACATCTTCCAGCAAAACAAAAGCGCGTAAGGAAGATTAAACAGCCTGACTGGTTTAATGATCGCATTGTTACCGCGATAAAAACCCGCGACAAAGAGCTTAATAAGGCGAGGAAATCGAAAGATCCAAATGACTGGGCAGAGTATAAACGTTCTAAGTGTTTTGTTATAAACTTAATAAAGAAGTTAAAACGTTCATACTTTCAAGAGTCAATTGACAACAACAACGGAAACCCACAAGGAATTTGGAGAGCGCTAAAATCTCTTACCAAGTCTAAAAAACAAAGCAAGATCACAGAGTTAAAGAGGGAGGATGGCACGTCAGAAACTGATACACTAGCTATGACGAATATGTTAAATGAATTCTTTGTGAATATTGCGAGCGGTTTGTGCGCTAACTCTACCCCAAGTGAGTTGGATACAAGCATTCTTGAGAACTTTGTTTCGTCTAAATTTACTAATTCCAACACTCAATTTAACATCCCTCCTATAACGGTACAGGACACTATGGAAATGATTGATAGTCTTTCGAGCCGGAAAGCAACAGGTTCTGATGGTATTAGTGCCAAATTATTGAAATTGGTTGCACCCGTCTTATGTCATCCTTTAACACGAGTCTTCAATCTATCCTTGGAAAAAGGGTGTTTCCCAAGAAAATGGAAGGTTGCGCGGGTAACCCCGCTTCACAAAGATGGTGTGCGTGACATCAAAGATAATTACAGACATATCTGTTTTATCTGTGCTGTCAAAATTGATTGAAAAGCACGTTGCACGATCTCTCATGAGCTACCTTGCGGAGAACAGGTTGTTGTATCATCTGCAGTCAGCATTTCGCGAAGGCCATTCCACTGATTCAGCTCTGATAAACTTGACAGACAAGATATTGTTTAATTTGGACCATGATGAGGTTACCGGAATGGTGTTTGTCGACTTTAGAAAGGCTTTTGACGTAATTGACCATAAGATTCTCCTAAAAAAGTTGGAGCTTTATAGAGTGACTGATGTAGCGTTGACCTGGTTTAAGTCCTACCTTTGTGATCGCTACCAATTTGTTTCTCTCGAAGGTAAATCGTCTGAATGCTTACCACTGACGAAAGGGGTACCACATGGTTCAGTCTTGGGACCTGTATTATTTCTGCTATTTGTGAATGATTTACCACTTCATTTACAATATTCTTCAGTCGACATGTTTGCTGACGACACTACTATGTCTGCATGTGCTCACTATTTGGACATTTCTTCGATGAATGATGGTTTAAATAGTGACCTTCATGCTCTTAATGAATGGTCGTTGCAAAATAAAATGTTCATAAATGCACGAAAAACAAACTCCATGCTTGTGACTGGAAAAAGGATACCAAAGAAATTGGACTCACAGAATGACCCATGTCTGCAGCTCAAGATAGATGGCGTTGATGTCAGCGGTGTTGCCTCGAAAAAACTTTTAGGAATTACCTTGGATTCTAAAATGAGTTATGAAACGCATGTCGAGGAACTAGCGAAGAAGATTTCAAAACGATTAGGATTGCTTAAACATATCAGTCCTTATCTCAAGCAACATCAACGAGAAACATTTTATACTTGCGTTATCAAGCCCACTCTCATGTACGGTAGTGTGGTCTGGGACAGCTGTAATATCAATTGTCATCAAAGACTTTTGAAACTTCAGAAGAGGGCGGCAAGAATTATTCTAGATGTTGATAGAAGAACGCCTTCAATTGAACTTTTTAATAAGCTAAATTGGCTGCCTTTGTCGAAACAGTCTCTTATAAAAAGAACATCTATAACTTTTAAAAGAGTAAATACAGATTATGTTATCCCTGAATATTTAAGCACTATGCTAGTAAGGAACTCAGATATTCATACTAGAAATACTCGCTTTAATAATATGAACATGGTGTGCCCAAAATACACTAGAGAGACTGAAGGTGGGCGCACTTTCACCGTTAGAACTATTAAAGATTGGAACGCCCTCGATGTTACATTGCGCAAACAGAAATCTATATCTACGTTTAAACGCAGTTTGTATACTAAAATTTTAACGGACCAGAAGTCCGCCATGCGTTTAGAAATTGCTTAGGTGGGTGGTGGGTTATTTTATTTGTAAATATAGTAGTTTTAGAGTTTTTATAAGTTTTAGTATTGTATTAACTTAATTGTAGTTATGTAAGGAGGGCCACGAATTTATCAGTAGTTCACACTTACTGTCAAGTGTTTACCCTCATGAAATAAAGTCTGAATGAATGAATGAATGTGTTTATATAACTCTAAACAGCAACATATTCTCTCATATGGCAGACCGGGATTTAAATATTAGTTTAATTGTAGATACATAATAACTCTTACCACATGCTATTTCTCAGCGTTTTGACGCTTCATAATATTTATATATTACTTAACAACAAAACATATAGCTGTATACCCCTAATATAGAAGTTTTGGATATATAACACTAATGCTATTTCATATAGTCTCAGATTTTTTACTCCTCTAGGAGCTAAATTAAAGGAATCACTTGACAATAACAGCAAAATGCTAGAGCTGTACTTATAAAACTCCAGACAACAACATATTCTCTTGTATATAGCCCTAACTATTGTGTCGCACACGTGGGGGACGCTAAAAAATGCGTAGTCAGCAAGTTTCGCCCGATCGTGTTTAAGCTCGCCCGCGCGACGTCATTGCATATAATTATGACGTATGTTATCATTACGCACCCTCACTTGTGCGGCCCCCTTAATTACCTGCATATATAATGATGCGGCCCCCTTGCATAGTAATTACTTGCATATATAATGATGCGCCACCACAGTCTATGCTAATGATGATACGCCACCACAAACCACCACACGCCACCACAAAAATAAGGTGCGGCCCCCCCTTAATTACCTGCATATATAATGATGCGGCCCCCTTGCATAGTAATTACTTGCATATATAATGATGCGCCACCACAGTCTATGCTAGTGATGATACGCCACCACAAACCACCACACGCCACCACAAAAATAAGGGTCGAACGGCCTCTATATTACTACTCTCGTGCAATGTCATGACGGTGGAAAAAGCAAACACTTGTGGATTTTCAATTTTCAATTCAAAGACGATCAAAAACTATAACCTATACAAGTAAGTTTAAAAGTATTAAATATAGGAAAATAAGTATTAAATTTAACAAAAAAAAAAACGGAAGGCGAAAAGGGCATTTATACATTTGCAGCAAAATCCTTGGAATACATGTTGGCAACGTAAATTCACACCGCTATAAATACAAATACCTTCTTTGTTTAAAAACAAAAAACAGAATGATTGTAGCGAACAAGAGCAGTGAGGTCGCACAAATAGCACTAACAATGACAACTGTTGATGAACTGCTTCCAGTTTGATCACCAGCGCTGTGGGTAACTGTTTCGTTCTGCTTTAAAGTAAAATAAAATAAATCGAATTTTAGTTTTCCAATCGAGGTTGGTTTTTTAAAATGATTTAAAATCTCAAATTGTCCCAATGTCCCTTCTAACAATACTTTTTTTCGTGTGTATACGGCAAAATTAACGGGTTCATGTCGCTTTCCAATAGCTGGTGAGTGGTGGTGCCAGGCATGCGGCAGCTTTTGAACAAGTAGAACTTGGTCGACGAACGGCAAGTGCACGTGTACTGCACTATATGCATGCAGGGCCGCAGAGAGGGGGGGGGGGGGGCAAATTGCCCCGGGCCCCGAGTTGTTGGGGGCCCCTGAAAAATTTTTGTTGAGCCCCAGCCTTTTTTGTGTGTTAAATATTTCCGCGCAAAGGACAAGATATCTGTTCTCTTGGGCTTAGTACCGAATTTTGGCATAAAAAAATGAGATAAAGTCCCTCGAAAGCAGTTGCAACGTACTCGTCCGGAAAAATTTTGTACTCCGGAAAAATTCTGTTTTACCCCTAAAATGGTACACTGACCGAAATTTTTTTGGCGACGGGGGGGCCGCCCTGTATGCATGTATTATATGTATCTTCAACGACAGCGAACACGTGTCAAAAACTAACTTTACGATCGAAAATAGGCACGCTAAACGTACATGTATCTGATGCGCTCGTGTGTATTAGTATTTGAAGAGCTGTTGTTGTTAAAAGGTGTAGCAATGATGATAGGCCAGGGGCGCGTAATATAGATGCAAATATACCTGTATCAATGGAGATTAATGTTCAAGTGAGTCAATGAGTTGCGAGTTAAGAGTCAATGAGTTATGAGTCTAAAAAATTGGGTTTTATTGTATTTAACTTTTTGTAATTTTTTCATTTTTATGTCCACCAAGAGGTTATTTTTTGTTTGTTCCTTTGTCCGTCGGTTTGTCAGTACGCAAAATATTTACAGAAATAATGGACAGAGACAGAGTTTTACGAAATTTTGGGTAAAGAATACTCGTACACCAGGAACCAATCAATCAATTAAATAAGATATAAAGAATCGGATGAAATACTGATAAAATTCTGCCTTACGGGAAAGCTTTTCAGTGTCTAAACATCAGTAGTCGCTTGAAAGCACTCATACATTCATAAAAGGAAATTTGAGAGCTTTCGGTTCAAAAGGTAATTTTTTCAACACGTAATAGATATATACGAACTCCGCAGGGCTATATTTTCCTCATTTTACAACTATTTCGCACAAAGCTTTGCAATTTATGAATTTTACCGTAATTTGAAGATGCTCTTTCTAGTTTCATGCCGGTAATGGGGTTTCATTCTTCGGAAATTTATGAATTTATTCTTTTCGTATTCGGAGGATGTTATTGCCCATTCTGCGCACAGTTTACATGGCAACAACACGCAGAACGACACGCTGACGAATTACCCTTAGCCGCCGAAGCAGTTGGAAAAAATTGTTGCATGGACGATCTGATGCCATCAGTCGAAAGTTCATCACAAGCGATTGAAACTCGACAGCAATCGATCGACAACGTTAGGAGATAAAGCAAATTTCGCATTCGTAAGTGGATTTCGAATCGTCGCGAAGTGCTAGAAGATATTCCGGAAGAAGATCGTGCATCACAAATCAACCTCGACCTGCATGAATTGTCAAGCGTGAAGACCCTCGGAATTTCGTGGACTGAAACGGACGATCAGTTCTCGTTTCACTATTCTCCACCAGAGAAAGAATTTGTCTACACGAAGAGGAACGTTCTTCGCTGCACCGCAACGAACTTGGATCCTTTAGGCTTTGTTGCTCCCTTCATTTTGTTGGCAAAGTTAATGATGCAACAAGCGTGGGTTCAAGGCATGGGTGCATGTCCCCGAGGAACATCGTCGAACTTGGAAACAATGGTTTGAAGAATTGATCAAATTATCTCTCATTAAGATTCCACGTTGTCTGAGAAAGAGCATAGAAGTCGGACATATCGAGATTCACACGTTTTCGGACGCTTCGGAAAAAGCGTATTCTGCGGTTGTGTACATTCGTCATGAATATAAGGACGGTGGCGTATCAGTCCGACTCGTAGCAGCAAAAACACGGTTAGCACCCTTGAAAACTATAAGCATCCCACGGCTTGAATTGATGGGCGCGGTTATAGGCCTTCGTTTAAGTAAACAAGTTTGTACGGCCTTAGAACTTCCTGTACAAGATGTAACGTTTTGGATCGACAGCACGACGGTTGGTTTTTGGATCCGTGGACAAAGTCGAAAGTACAAGACTTTCGTGGCACATCGAATTGGTGAGATTCATGAAGAAACCAACCCTGTGCAATGGAAATACGTCCCGACATCATCCAACCCAGCAGATCACGGTACACGGGGACTCACAGTAACTGAGTTGAAAGAGAATGAACTTTGGTGGAACGGACCAGAGTTTCTAAAAGAATCACGCGACAAGTGGCCCGAAGAGAAATTTGCAGAACAGAACGCCCAGGTTTTCGCAGAGATGAAGCCACAACGCAAGGATGACGCAGTTTGTTTTAGTGCGACTCAGCAAGACGAAAGCGAAAAAGAATGGCGTCTGAAACCTTCAAGATTTTCAAAGTGGTATCGCCTTTCCTTGACAAAGAGATTGGAGTTAGGACTGTCGTTAGTGCGGGTTAGAGCTTGGGTCCATAGATTCATTGCGAACTGTCGAAAGTCGAAGAAAGAACGAGTCAGTGGAGAGTTGACCGCAAACGAATTACAAGGTGTAGAAGAGATCATTATTCGCGAAGCACAAATGGAAGTTTATTATCAAGAGATTACTGCACTAAAAGAGAAGAAGTGTCTTCCTAAAAGAAGCAGTATTTTGAATTTAACGCCAATCTGGAAAGACGGTCTTCTGCGTTCGAATACGAGGCTTCGATACTCGGAGGATTTGAGCGAAGAGATAAAATATACAATAATTTTACCCAGTGACGAAACTCATCGTGAAGTATCACCACGAAAGCGAAGGGCATCGAATGGGCGTAAACTTCACGCTGAATCATCTTCGAGAGAGATACCATGTCGTTCATGGCCGAGAAATTGTAAAGAGAACGGCAAAGGAATGCACAACGTGCAAATGGCGTTTTACCGGCAAACCAGCCGTGCAACAAATGGCACCATTGCCCAATATCAGATTAGAGTTGACGATGAAAGCTTTCACGAACTGTGCAGTTGATTTCGCAGGGCCCTACCTCACAAAGCAAGGACGAGGGAAGACGCGAACGAAGCGATATTTGTATCTATTTCTTTGCTTGCAGACCCGTTGTTGTCACTTAGAAATGGCATAGTCGTTGGAAACAGACGGATTTTTGCAAGCGTTCACCAGAATGGTAGCGAGACGCGTTTGGCCTCGAACTATGCTTAGTGACAATGGTACCAATTATGTAGGAGGTCACAACGAGATTTGTAAACTTGTTGCTGAGATCGACAAAGAGAAGATTAAAGCGCAGACGTCCAATAAGGGGGTAGAGTGGCGTTGGAATCCACCATTATCGCCGCATTTTGGAGGCGTGTTCGAACGGATGATTCAGTCAGCCAAGAGAGCGATCCAAGGAATTTTAACTAACGCAGACGTAAGTGACGAAGAACTAGAGACAGTTATTGTTGGAGTAGAGAGTCTGATGAATTCACGTCCTTTGACTCATGTTAGCGGAGATCCAAACGACGAACCAGTGTTAACACCAAACCACTTCTTAATCGGTCAATCAGGAGATGATGTTGCGCCAGAGAGTGTCGACTACACACCGTTTAACCCCAAGAAACGTTGGAGGCGCGTGCAGGAACTTATTCGCCAAACCTGGAAACGCTGGATGCAAGAGTACCTTACAAGTCTTGGGTCCCGATCAAAGTGGTTTAACAAGCAAGATAATGTCAAGAAAGGAGATATGGTATTAGCTATCGATCCAGGTACACCGAGACGACAATGGAATTGGGGAAGATTGAAGCAGTTTATCCTGGAAAGGACGGCAATGTTCGTGTAGTGGATGTGAGAGAAAATGATAAGATCTACAGACGGTCGATTGGACGCGTATCGCCACTGGAATTTTGAAATTATTAGAATGCGGATCACAAGAAATCCGGGAGGGGGAGATGTCGGAGCGAAAGCGAACAGTTGACAAACTAACGCCATTTTGGGGACATAAAGTACATTAATTAGACGGGAAAAAGGACGGAAAACACATGGCCGCGTTTAAGTTGTTATTTATCGTTTTTATTAAATATTTGTTTTAAAAAACTATGAAATGAGTGAATGTTTAGTGAACCAGCACGTAAATGTAGGTCTCGACTACAATAGTATTTTTTTATATAAAGAATACTAATTAGGAGTGTTTTATCAGGTTTAATTAAAGCCACCGCACGTGACATATTATGGTTGACATGATTTGCCAATAAGCTTATGAATTATTAATGAGCGTTTGAAGTCAATTAAATTCACGTCGTATGATTAAACCGCAAATTGTATTCTTATTTTTTAATGAACCGACATTCTGTATGTGCATTCACTATCCGTTTGGACGGTTTGGTTCATGAAAAAAGGAAAAGCGTTCAAATTAATCACAACTGTATACGGGTCCCTGAGATATAGAGAATATTACACGACGGCGCGAAGATATGACTTTTATCTTCGAGTGGTGAAACAATATTGTTTTTAACACGAGAAGATAAAAGACATCTCTTCAAGTATCGTGTAACGTTCTGTTTATTATATAGTCCCAAGCAAAAAATTGTGAAATTTCACGCTCAAAAGCAAATTGGAAAAAGTCGCGTGATCTATATCTTCACTAGTGAAGATATGGAAAATATCTCGCTGTGTATTTTTCAGTATTTCACTCTCTACTATATAATAAATGAAAATACATGATCACTTATATTATAGAAACTGCAACCATAAAAACTTGATCAAGTTACCCAATTGAAAAAATAGGACTGATACAAGGTCAAAAACGGTTCACTTACTTGGACAGGGAGCAAAGCTAAAATGAGAAAAGAAATTATTATTCAGATATTAAGCCCAGGTTGGTATTTCCATATTTTGAATTCTAGTATACAGAGGAACTCCGGTATCGCAGTAACATTGATACTAGTTTTACAGGTATATTCAAGGAAAACAAGCTGTTTGCTTAACGCTTCTATGTTAACACGCAGGTTCAGGTTCACACAACATGCTCAGGTTCACACACATGCATAGTTAATCGTACACTACTTCCGGTCAGGTGTGTTTACGTAATCGACTACAAAGGTTATGATTGGTTGTCGAACTTGATAATCGCTTATATAAGTATATGTAAGTATAAACCTGCGATCAGAAGCGTATGTTCGTATCAGCCCGCTTACTCAGACTTCTCGGTTAGTGGATGAATATTTCCGTGAATTCATACAAAGTTTTTCATTCCAGTTGTGGAGATTAATTCCAATGTAGTTCTACAATTAGCCGGCAAAATTCGAAATTACCTTTCCTTTACCCTATTCTTCACAGAATGTGATGTATTTCTTATAGCGGTTAGTATAGGAGTATATTAAGCTGTATAAATCCAACTGTTTTGGGGAGACATAACCATGATCCAGTTCATTAGAAGTGCATTTTGCTCAAACATTTCTACCACACTTCATGGTAAACACGGCAAAAACTCATCGACTGGTGAGTGTAAGCTTCAAACTTGTTTTTTTACTCATGATTTGCGGTTAAGCTGGCTGCGTGATTTTATTTAACAAGTTACACTTTTGATTAAAGGTTTAAAACAATGAAATATATTGTGAGGAAATGTGACCCAAAAAAGAGTCGGTCAAAAATGTTTCTGCACAATCGAGTTATTGAGCAGGCATTTCAACCAATCAAAAACGTTCTTATATAACATGTATATTATAACATTAGTTTATATTTGCTGAATTGCTGAAACTATCAGCCGGTAGAGGATTTAACACTACAAGGCCTTCAAAATGTCTGTAACTTCTACGGTTTAGGAAATAGAACTATAATGGAAATGTTTTTTCTGGGCGTGGTCTTTTTGTTCCTTTCATCCCGGATTTGGGTTTCGACATGTTTGTCGTCATGGCCGTCATGTATCTCAACCTCGTTCTCAGGCTCTTCCCTCCTGAGGGAAGAGCCTGGGAACGAGGTTGCATTTATCTCTGATATAGTTAAGCATCCATAATGCAATGAATATACAAACTCATATTCATGATTATAGACTAAGTACCATTAATAACTAAGAGGCGATCGAGTTCGTATATAGGTAAGAGGAACGGTTTTGTAAATGTAAGCTACTCACATTTAAAGTTTCCTGAAAACTTAACTAAAACACAATGCGTTTCATTTTCGCTTTGATTTATGGAAGTCATCTGGCCCATCAGTATGCCACGTCTGTGATAATTTGTACTTTCACAATGAATATATAATCTGATTATCTGTCCCGGTAAATTTTTTGATGCTGCCAAGTTCACCTGCAGAAAAAGATATAGTTTTGATACTCCCGGCCAAGAAAGGACTACTATAAATTAAAATAATTAGTTATTTGCTTTCATCATGTAATGGCATCTTAGAGTCACAATTTAATTATGTATTTTAAATTTCAATCCTAACAATGGAACGAAAACAAGGAAAATGAAGACATCATCTTATATTTGCGTGAGCATGGGGCGGCTAAGATGGGAAGTACGCGGCTTAAATATTGTTCTGAACTTCAAAATTTATATTTCATACCCAGAGGAGGAATGAGGGTCTTCCCGAAATGCAACGCGCGAATCAGTGCGGCTCATTGAAGATATTTATTCTCAACGCGCCGTTCGATTAAAAACTGTTGAAATATATTGCGATTTTTGCTGTGAAGATCTCGTTTTCTCAAAGGTGTGTTTTGATAACATTTTTGTTTAGTAATTTAATAAAATAATTTTTGAATAATTTTGTATATATATAGCATTTTACTTAAGTTAAATTCATATATAGCATTTTACTTATGTTAAATTCCCATTGTATTTATGCATGTTTTGGGTGTTGAAAAAGTGGCATTGAAATATTCAGGAGTAAATTGTACTTTTTTACAAGGAAACTAAAATAAAATCACATCAGTGAATTCAGGAATGTTTACTCTTTGTATTGATACTTTAAAACATGAATTTACTCCATAAAACCGAAGAGATATCGCGGTTTGAAAATGAGCTATTTTTGCTATATTCGATGATAATAATTAGCCGCACTGATTCGCGCGTTGCATTTCGGGAAAACCCTCATTCCTCCTCTGGGTATGAAATTATAAATTTTGAAGTTCAGAACAATATTTAAGCGGCGTTCTTCCCATCTTGGCCGCCCCATGCTCACGCAAATATAAGTTGATGTCTTCATTTTCCTTGTTTTCGTTTTCATTTTCTTTGAAATTTAAAATACATAATTAAATTGTGAATCTAAGATGCAATTACATGATGAAAGCAAATAATTAATTATTTTAATTTATAGGAATCCTTTCTAACTTTCTTGGCCGGGAGTATCAGTACCTCCTCTGTTTCATACCTTTAAACTGATAGTTTTCGAGGATCGTTTCACAAGATAAAAAGGTTTTATGCCAAGTACGCTTTCCGGAAGATAATCCCATTGGCTGTAATTAAGGAATTCTGTCATTTCCCATTGGATGGAACATTGATTGTTTGTAACCTCGACCGGAGCTGAAATGTTTTTTTCTTCTTCACACTGATCTGAGGAATCGTCGCATTTATTCAAGGCATCAGTTTTGATTGTGAACATGCTTGACCCATCCGAATATTTGTAGCAGCCTATATTTAAAAGGCAGAAAACTACGGTATCAGCCATGGCTGAAAACTACAGAAAATCATAGCCATATATAGGCCTCCCTAAACCTCTCTATGGTACGGGAAAATTGCACAATATCACAGTCAGAATATTTCAAGGACTAAAGTTCCTCCTGGAAGTTGTAGTTCTGCCACTTGCAACTTGTTTGGTCTGTTCAGTGACAGTGTGGAAGCAGACGTATCCAATAAAGTAATGCATGTATGTACTGCATGTATGCAGAAATAACTTACTCTCGACCGTTCCACGATAACCAGCTGTGATTGATAATTTTAAACTATATTTAATCTGATGATCAGCACAGTTTAGACTTACCGTGATATGCCGACACAGAGAAACAAAAGAGTCGATCAGACTGATAGCGTTTCCATAAACTGTACGCACCGGTTCCACTGTAGACTATTACATAGGTTTGAACGTTGCCAAAATTGAGATATGCTTTCTCATATTTGAGGTAAACCAGACCATTCTTTCCATGACATTGCCATATTTGTTTTGAATCGGATGCATTGCATGATGCTAGCGATACTTTTGGGAATGTTTGCTGAAAAACCGGTATCTCCGAGGTTTGAAGACACTTTAAAGTGTGCAAATTTAAAATTTGATTATGCTTAGTCCAAATCCAGTGCTGCTGGGTATTGTTGACATCACATGTATCTACTGTGAGATCTGGCACCGCGTCGGAAAGAGGTTCCATGCAACGATACGAATAATCGTGGTTCGCTAAGAATGAATGACTATCACCTGTGTAGAAAAGATACGCATTTAAATCTTAATTATATTGTTTTATTTTTGGTGGGAAATGCTGCGATTATTTGTTTGGCAAATTAAGCTTTTGGATAAAAAATGATTTACCATGATGATATTGGGAGCTGATAGCAATTATACGGATCAAAAGCTTGTCATTCGCCATATAATAAATTAAGTAAATTACTTCTTGCATGCATGCATGCATGGTAATTCCGGGTATCACAAAAACCGAATTCAAGAACTGTTTTATTAATTTATCGCACAAAACAACGTTTGGCAGACTCGCTTTGACTATGTATATAGCTCATATAGATGAACTATGTAGTTTTAGATTAAATAATGGTAATTTATACCCATTTTCCGCTGCAACGAGAGGATGACATCAGCATGGCATCATCTCTTCTTTTGACAATGCTAGCTACTGATGACGATTCGCGGGATTACGAATCCAAAGCTTTGTCGATCGATCACATGACCAATATAAGAAAAAACACACTCCGAATAATAATGACATCTTTGGTGGTAATTTGTGTCTTGTCTTTAGAATTGCCGGAACCGTCCACTGATTCTCTGTCAACCTCTTGACCTTTTGCAATTGAATCCTCTTATTAATCTGTCGCCACAAGCGCACGAGAGTTCGAAATTACTTGATTTGTAGTTGACTTCCTGATTTCCCGTAATTACAACACTGATATATTTCAAGATTTTCTGATGATATTAGTTACGGCAATGTTTGTATATCATTTTAATGTGTGTAGATGTATTCACTTCATTTCTGGAGCAATTATATGAAAATGCACTTACCCAAAGATACCGAAAACTTCTCATTCTTTTCGCATTTACCATCGGAATATCCATTCTGATAAAATGTCGGGTTATTGGTATCGCATTGACATTCAAAGCATTTCGAAGTAACACAAGATGCTCCATAAAGGCAATCACAGTTTATCGATGTACCACTATCACATCTGGGATTCGTAAATTTGTCTGTGCTCCCGCGAGTTATATTTAAAGCCATATTCGCACATACCAAAACCAGAAAGAAGATGATATACAATAAAATACCAAGCCACCTGAACATAATTTTGTAACTATAGCTTAACGTTAATGTTCCATATAAATTATAGATAAGCTTAAAGGGAATGTTTTACTTCCCTGCCTAGACACCAACACATCTGCTAATGATATCAAACATGACTCAACATGCATATATGCATGACTCTCATATCCACGGGTGGTTTACTCAACAAATTAATCGGAGAAAGGAGGTGTTGTACATGCAGAAGAAGTCAAAGTCTGAGACTTTGAGAGCGGCTACGCTCACAGTAGAACAGCGTTCTGTAGCGTCACTTGCGACGCAAAGTAGCCGTGCAAAAAGCCCTCTGTTTACAAACGCGCAAGCCATGCAATTCGGAACGGGAAGATGCTGTTCCTCTTAGCATTGAATGAATAGTGGTACGTTTCATGTCATTTAGATTATATATCTGATCTAACTTGTGTGCATTTAACAGCATAACACTGGTATACTACTTCGCCGTTTGATAAAGGCCTCAACTGAAACGTCGGTGAAACGAAGTTAGACACAGTTCTCTCACTTCTCTCTGTGTGTCCTCATAGGCGGATTTTCTGGGAGTGTCCATCTAAGCAGGAAATTCAATAAAATTTGCAGTGTTGCTAATATATCCCTGAAAATATGCATCTCGGCTAATGAACAATATTGTTCTCCTGAACTTTTTCACCCTTGGCTGTTAACTGAATATGCTATACTAACCGGCTAGAAGTAGTAATCAGAATGTTCTGGTTACGTCAGTTAATTTCATCGTTTAACCTGCTGCTTGCAAGATAAAGTTTGACTGTTGATCCAGCTGGTCCTCGGACACCGAATGATAGTTTTCGGGACCTTATAATAGGTATACATCAAGCATTATATCAAAGCACTTTCCCATACCAAATAGCTTCCTCTGAAATGGCAATTATAAACTTGTTATTAGATAACATGTTATCCGGAAGATAACCAATCATGTTCCTAGAGCATGCTCTGGAAACGAGATTGGAAGATACAAGTGCCTCCTATAGCAACCTGGTACCCAGGCTCTTTCCTCGGTTGACAAATACTGTGTATAAGCTTTGGCTTAATTAAATATCAGATATGCATTGATTTTGATAGACATTTGGTGCAGTCTATGCATGTGCATTCAAACATCAACATTATCATCTGCATAACTGTTATTTTTTTATACCTTTTTCATCGCAAGGAGGGCGCAGTTGAGGAGAGTATATTTAGCTCTCATTTTCCAAATATATATTAAAAAAATATTCTGCATGCTACTTAATTGTTACAGACAGTAAGAAATTACTATAATCAATCTGGTCTCCTACGCAAATCAGACAGTATATGACCTGAATAAAACAGCCAATGAAAGGAAATTTTAAAAGATATGTAGACAAAATAACTGAAAATTTACAGGATCAAAGTTATCGGTCAGTAAAAATCGAAATGTCGCTTTGTCGAATCGGGTCCGGTGCGTCAGCCTTTTGTCATCGGCACCGCATCACTGACACAAGTGACTTAACTGAAAACGTTGTCATTACAGTACGTTGGATAAAAGGCTGATTATCATTTTATTATTATAATTTTCACTTGTGTGATTTAAAACCCATAACTCACTTCTAGCAATTATACTAACTAGTTATATCAGCTATTTATCTTTCCCGGAACTCAGGAAAGGTCATTCCCGGCCTTATTTGTCTTGTGTTACAACAGGAGGAACGAAACCTAAACTTCAGTAACAGTGGATAGCTCTACCAGTAACAAATATTCGTCCAAAAGACTTATAGCCTGTATAGGTGTCCATGAGTAAGGACCAGTCACTTATTAGCGACCTTAAGGCCTGATTCCACGGGCGCTTTTTCTCGGCGAAATGCGAAATATTTCGCCCGTTTCTTTTGAATTGCGACCACTCGAATAAATTATTTCTACTTGATTGCCCACAATTCAAAAGAAACAGGCGAAATATTTCGCATTTCGCCGAGATAAAGCACCCGTGGAATCAGGCCTTTAAAGGCCGTTTTCCACCAGGCGGAATTTTCCGCGCGGAGCGGAATTTCTCTTTGTCTTTTCTAATTATTTTCACTCGAGAAATCACAAGATAAAGAGAAATTCCGCTCCGCGCGGAAAATTTCGCAAAAAGAGAAATTCCGCTTCGCGCGGAAAATTCCGCCTAGTTAGTGGAAAACGGCCTTTAGGCCCTGTCACACTATTGCGTACCGTACTGGCGTATGGCAGCGTATGAAAAATATCACTCATACGTATAGGCTGGAAAACGTTGCCACATACGCCAGGGGTTCGTTATAGGCATAGGTTGTATACGTTTCAAGGACGGTGTGTTGTATATTCAGTTGTGTGTATTCGGACGTATGGTTTATACGATAAGCACACTCTAGGGCCAAATGTACGGTACTCATACGCTGACATTTCACGCAAGGATTTTTCACGCTTCTCATACGTTTCTCTCATACGCAATAGTGTGACAGGGTCTTTTGTAGGACGGGAACGCGCGACGGCGACGCAAATTTTTTTTCCGTAGACAGTCGGACTCCTCATTGATAGTCGGACGCATCATTGATCCGCGTCCAGGCCTCCGCGCGTTATCAATTAATCCCTTCGTAACCCACTGGTGCAACATATATCCATCACTCCACGTTGTTCTTCTTCGACCAAGTGTGGAAAGATGAACGATTTGCTTCGCGATGCCATAGTAAATCTACAAACTTGTTTTTCTGGTTCCGAAAATACTCAAGAACGGTTATTGCGTGTTAAAACTATATATCATCCCTTTTGAAGAGAATCAGGATAAGATAACTAGCGTGCAAGGAAATACTGGAAGATTCAAAGCGACAATCAATACCAGTTTCCACAAATAGAAGTATTGCAGAATACCCTGTGTACGGAATACATATCATGTAGCCCGGCCACTATTTCACTGGATACGTATATACCAGATCTTATTGCCTCGTTCTAATATACAAGTTGAAACTAATTACTAAGACAATATTAGGAATTGATACTATAAAGGAAATATCATGGAAGACTTTTAATTTTAATATTATGCTTAGTATGTTTTATAATATAAAATATTTTCTCCCAGCGACGCTAATTAATCATAATCTGTCAAACACCAATGTCCGGTTGTGAGGAACATATTTGCATATTACACCACATTTAAGCTCTCTATAGCATGAGAATTTAATCTATTACTGCCAACTAATTACTGCCACGCATTCGCGTATCCACTAAAATATAGAGCTACCTATAGCATGAGAATTTGATCTAATGCTTTAAATCTAACTGTGTGCCTCGTTCTCAGAATAACTACTTGACTGCGTAACATATCCACTAGAATAGAGAGCTACATTTAACACTATGACAATTTAATCTATTAATGCTAAGTCACTATATGCCTCGTAGCTACCTTTACCGGGCCACCATCTATTTATTATTAATCTATTGAGAATAAATTTAGATGTATTAATACATCGTATCCATGAAGTTTGAAAGGCATAGTTAAAAAGTGGATGGGTATTCTGCAATGCCAATCGCTCCTGTCGAATTTCATCACCACACAAGGTATTAAGCCACAATGTGTCCTGCTCAGATTTTGGCATCTCAACCAAGCAATACTGATTTTGAAATCACCAATTGCGAGCGACGAGTATCCGCTGAATATTTTGTTTAAGGGCGCGGATCAATGATGCGTCCGACTATCAATGAGGAGTCCGACTGTCTACGGAAAAAAAATTTGCGACGGCGACGACAAATAAACTCCGTCGTTGCAATATTATTGCAGTCTTCTTTATCCATCGTATGAAAGGTAATACAGTTTTATAAGGATTGAGGTTAACAGAGGGTTTGATTGAGAAAAGTTCTAGAACCCAATTTAAAAAAGTAGTTGTCCCAGCTTGAAATCATATGCGTTATGTATACAAGACATGATAATCTGTATTTTGCCGTTGTGAACAGAGCGACTGCAACGTCTAAAATTTTCGTTGGATTTTAATTGTTCATTTCTGCTCATTTTCTTGTATTAGTATATCAATAGCCGTCCTCGTTGCACTTTAGTCCAGCTAGCTTGTTGAGGTTTTTAATAACTGTAGTACTGTTTATAATTTTAAAAGTGTAAAATTTAACGCTGTTTCTTGTCACATTGCCGTACTAAATTAAGCCTTGCTTACGTTCGCTATTGTTCGAGTGCTACCGTGTTTAGTAATCGAAATGAGAGTATATTCCAAACATACAACTGAAGCATACTGCACTCTGCAGGAATCGAAGCAAAGTCATAGAGGTATATGCCCTAGCCCAGTCTATAGGCCTTCGATTTATATTTCAGTGCTTTATCACGTGTGAAAACTGGAATACAACAACTTGGGGGCGGGCTAAAGGAAAGGCGAAGCGAGGTGCCCATCCGCCACATACTATTTTCAGCCAATTAATGCTAATTCATCCGCCACGTACAAATTTTCTGCCAATTAAGTGAGTCCCAATTACGAGTCCCTAATGAAACCGCCATAGTCACAAGTTTTTTACTATATAGGGTTGTCATCTACCAACATTGTTTACGCCCTGAGTGACTGAGTCGTCTCTGTACGTCACTGATCTGAACATGCATCGATTCCACTCAGAGCGAGAAATAGAAGGCCCAGTATATTTCCCAACGAATTTATCAGAATATTCTCCAAACTGACTTAAACTTGCCCCGTTTCGATATGGTCAACTTTTGCGATCTCTAAATCGGAATCTAACAGTGATACCAATATACAGGTAAATTGAACTTAGTTATGGTGTAAAGTTACAATTTTGTGTGAATACGTCTCGGATACATATATCTAATTAATATCGGTTGTATTCAGCGAGGATTGAGTGTACAAATGGGCAAAATTTGCCAAAATATATAATAGGAGTAGAATATATCATGACACACAGGCATTAATTTTCCACAAGTTACAATATAATTCTATCAAAACTAATAAACTATAAGATATTCACTTCATGTGCGGAAATACCGATACCTTTGTTCTGTATGAACTAAAGTGCCGTTAAAATCCCGTATAGCCGTGCGTGGGTGTTGAGTCTGTTGATTTTACAATAACACAGGTAAGATAAAATTGTACAATAATGTCAAAACTGAAAGACTATGTCTATGAAAACTTTACTTTCCGAAATTGCGAAGTGAATATAACTATATTATTTTGAGTTCAGTCTGCTGTGTTGGGAAATCTACTAAAAGTCCTGGGCCTCAGTATTTATCATTAAGTGCCACCTGTCGACTAAAGTTCACCACTTTTAATGCTTGTTAATCAATTAAAGTAAAGGAGGTCAGTAAAATTCTCGTTCACCGCAAACTGACCACAGCAGCAATGTCCTACTGATGAATTTTTGTCCGCTCTGCCCAACCCTCACGCCCACACGTCACTCAGATACCACCCACCTGCATCACGTCTGTGGTCTGACCACAGAGTAATAATTCCGCAAAGGTATAATGACGTAGTTAATTTAATTATGCTAAGACTATAAAGTACTTGTTACTGAAGGGTCTTCGTATTTCTCTTCCTATTAACTTTAGTTATTTAACTTTATTTATTAACTTTTATTTGCCCATAATTTACCAACAAAACAACTATTTACATATATTAGAAGAAATGATTCAGTCTGTCGAAAAGAACAAAGAAAAGACTATTTACATAAAATTTCATAATATAATATTATCTATTTAGAATTTGTTAACGCAAGTTAGATTAAGTTTTCTACTTTAACATGTATCTGTATAAAGATGTAATATAGCAAGACGAATTTTTACCAGATTTCTATCTTAAAATCTCTACTTGAAGTTAAATATTTATATAGTACGTTTTGGCTTTTTTCTTGAAAGTGTTACTGTATACCAAGTAAGACCTTCCTATAGTCGCTCTTTCTCCATTTCCGGTACTATACAGTGGTTTTGGTTAGTATAGATCAAAACATCGAAGCGTCAGACTGTCAATTTGTTCCACTTAGCTTACTAACTGAAGTTTATTCTTAACTATATATTCAAGTGTTTTTGTCACATAAAGTTCGCACACAGGCTGACATAACTAACTCTTATCGTATTTGTTTTGTTTTGCTCTGCTTTGTATTGTCATACGATGATCCGGGAAACATTACTCATTAGGAATATGTTCGAGCCAATGTATAGTTACTTTGAAGACCAATTTATTCCTTGTACTCTAGCACCATATAGTCATAGATAAACGTATTAATTTCCTTCAACAAATTAGTTTTAATTAAATTCTCTCATATTCGAACCCAGTTCACTTCTACATATTTTATCATTCAACATGACCTAAAACCTAAGCTTTTAAATATCATCGACCCTAAACAATTTGGTTTTATTATTAAATCCAGGATCAAGTACAAAGTTTGCCCTGATATCAATAATGCTTCATAAATGGTTGGCTGCTACTGATGGAACAGGTTCCGCCGTTAGGGTTATTTTATTGGATTACAGGAAAGCGTTTGATTTGGTTGATAATCTTTTGGTTGCCAAGCTTCATAAATATGGTATTAAACCAACAGTTTTAAATTGGATAGTCGATTTTTTACGTAACCGATTTCAACGAGTGAAACTTGATTCTGATTGTTACTCCGACTTTTTGCATGTCCCGGCAGGTGTCCCACAGGGAACTAAACTTGGTCCGTGGCTTTTTCTCGCTATGATTAATGACTTTCGACTTTCGGGCAACTCTTTAAAGGATATGTGGAAATATGCTGACGATACTACAATATCTGACGTTATTCCTAGGTTCGGTAACAGTGCCTTAATTACAGCTGAATTGTTGACGGGAGTGTGAACTGGTCTGATCAAAATAAATTACACCTATACACCCAGCTAAGTGCAAATAATTGAGGATTCAGTTTGCCAAACGTGAATGCTTGGACATGGTTCAATCAGCAAAAATTCTGGGTATGACGTTAACAGACGACCTAAAATGGAATAAATATATAGGAATAGTTGTTCTTAAGGCTTCGAAACGACTGTATCTTTAAAACAATTACGACGTGCTGGTGTTGATGAGAAACATCTAATTGGTTCTACTAGAAGTTACTAATGCGTGTATCAGGTCGATTCTGCAATATGCTTGTGAAGTTTTTCATTCAAGTCTTCCTACATATCTGTCCGACGATTTAGAACGAGTACAAAGACGTGCAATGAGGATAATTTTTCCTGGAACGAGGTATAAGGAAGCCTTGGAACAGGGACATTTACAGTCACTTTATGACAGACGAAAATATTCATGTATAAAGCTTTTTGAACAAATTGAACAAGATCCAAGTCATAAATTAAAAAATCTCTTACCTAGTTTAAATACGTCTTTTGATAGCCTTCGAACCGTAAGAAAGCTTAAACTTCCTTTAATCAAAACAGACCGTCTTTTATACCTAGTCAAGCAGCGAAAGTGACGTTGTAGTTTTTACCGTAGTAATAGTTTAAGCAACAATGAATTGTAAATAATTTTATATCAATTGTAAATCATTTGTAATTCAGTCAGCCATTTTTTGGCTTCGTGAATTGGAAAGTGACGTTGTAGTTTTTAGCGTAGTAATATATTAAGCAACAATGAACTGTAAATAATGAACTTAGTATTTTATTTCATATCATTTGTAAATCATTTGTAATTCCGCCTTTTTTTGGCTGCGATATTTGATTCATTAAACTATCTATCTATCTATCTATCTATCTATCTACGAACTGAGTTCGGTTTTCTGCAAGATGCACTATAGTCAGATTATAACCGTCTCTATAACTCAGTGGTTTTCCCCTTCTTCTTGGACCGGATTTTCTAATTTTCCCAACTTTAATTTGTGCACCAAATATACGGCTGTATTTACTCGTTTGAGCGCCGCCCCCGAATGAGCGCCGCCTTCGAATGAGCGCCGCATTTGAGATCCAAATTTTTTTAAGGGGCGCGGCCCCCGAATGAGCGCCGCACTAATTATTTTCAAATGCTTAATCGAAGCACCGTCAGAATCGTGGAAGAATCCCTTTCAATGCGACGAATTTACCGCGTCTTCTGATGTCGAGGAGGCATATCCACCGTCAAAATGGGGACATTTTGTTACAAAGACATTTAAAACTTGTTTATTTTATTGTTAAAAGTTCTTCTTATAATTCACAAATAAAATATTTTTTTTAAAGAGCGCCGCCCCGGATTGAGCGCTACCCCCGATTGAGGGCCGCATCCGAAGCTCTGAAAATTTAAAGAGCGCCCCGGCGCTCAAACGAGTAAATAAAGTTAAAATTGTTTTCTCGCTCTGATAATTGTTGGTTACAGGTCATGATCTGTTATGTAACCCAACACTTGCTATTAATGTGAGTGTATTAAAAGACAATCAAATCTTCTCTCCCAATGTATGAGATATACGTGAGAGGAAAAAAGTGTTTTTTACCCCCACATGAACTGGTTCAGGATGTCAGATATATGACGCACGTCTCCGCAATAATCCGCATTTCCGGCTATAATCAATAAAAAGGGCCCATCCCAGGATTTTACTATCATTACACTAATTTGCTCGTGTTTGGATTATCAACTATGCTTAAACCAGGTTGGAAATTCGCATCGTTCGTTGTAGCCGTGCTAGCTTGGCGTTGGTTTACAAAACGTGCTAGCATTAGCGAAACGTTTCGTGGTAAAAATGTTGTAATCTGTGGTGGGTCCACAGGTATTGGTGAGCAAATAGCGTATCGATTTTGCGAGCAAGGTGCCAACGTTCTGGTCGTGGCTAGAAGGGAATGGGCTTTGAGAAGTGTTGTGGAAAACTGTTCGCGTCTTGGGGCAGCCTCGGCTAGTTACATTATTGCTGACTTACAGGGAGGTGGGATTGGCAATGGACATCTTCTCGAAGTAAGTGAACTTACATGGAGAGTTTTCAGCAGGATTGAATTTTTTATTGAAATTGATGCACATTTTTCTGCACCATTTTCACACATATTCGTATACGCCTGTTCCGTGCACACGTATTCCGCAAAAACGCACATCGATCGAAACCGTACATTTTTAGCGCGGTCTCCAGAACTAGCAGAAATTTTTGAAACACTGTCATTGCCACTATGAGAATGTCGACTGGCATCAGGATAGTTAACGACAGCGTGCCGATGCTCACCAAACTTTGACCTCAAAAGTCTTCCAGTGTTCCCTAATATAAAGCGTACCAAATTTACTGCTTGAGATGAAGTTGATGACAAGGGAGGAAGTGCACGTGAAGTGGTGCTTGACATGGAATCTATATAGACTCACAGGTTTCACATTGAGGGAAACTCTAACTCTCTATGTCTGAATAGACTCCTTTCCGGTAAAATATAATTACGTCACAACTATGTTTTCAACTTAGCACCACCTTAAATGGAATATATTTCAAGTTTATTTCTCACGGGCTATGGTCAGGGGAGCAGAACATCTTTCGTCAACACATGCATAAAAAAGAATTTTGGATTTTGACCAATAAATGTGGAAATAAGCTTAAACACGAAAACGAGGCTCAGGGGCCATGGCCTTTTTGGGCCCCTCGGCCTCGTTTTCGTGTTAAAGCTTGGGCCCCTCAACCTCGTTTTCGTGTTATTGGTCAAAATAATAATTTTTTATCATGCATGTGTTAAAGAAGGATGTTCTGCTTCTTTGCGCATAGCCAGTAAGAAAAAAACTTAACTCCATTTCATTTAATTAAGCGTGCTTCAAGGTGGTCCTAAGTTGAAAACAATGTAGTTGTGACGTAATTGCCGGAAAGGTCTATTGCGTTGCACTTCGCAAAAAAAAATTATATTGCGTCCTGTACTCGCATGTAAACGAAAATCTACATGTGAAGTTACTGTACAGTTTTGGCGCTTCTTTCGTATAGGAAAATAAAAACGTTTCGCGCACCTTTAAGGGTTAACCGGCTGAGGATCCTTAGGAAACCGTATGATTTATATCCACATACCACAGTATATGCAATTGCATACCAAAAAAATATTTTGTTTTGTTTTATGGAAGAAAAAACACAATGTCAAATTATTATTGCAGAGTTTTCGATCGGTAAGGCGTATGCCATGCAGCGCATGATTAAAGTTAATTAGTCATAATTAGTCATAAAAATTACGTTTTCAGTCTCATTTGAGAGAACTTTTAAAATGAAATCTGAAGACCCTTACAATTTAGAGAGATTTTGACTGCTAGAAACTGGATGTAGGTCGCCATGATGTTTCTTGGATATAACTGGTTATTACACAAAATTATATACCTCGCATATCCCTTATGATGAATTCCGGCATGTTAAATCATGTTGCGCTTCTTAAACCCCCGCTTCCCTAACTCACTGTCGCAGCTTACCAAAAGTTGTTTTGGCCTGCTCACAGCATTGAACTGGGGGAGAGGAGGTGATTTTTGCAATAATAGTAGGAATGATCTCAAGAGTTATGTCTCAGATCGTATAGCTGTTAAATTACCATGTGGTTGACTCCCTTTCAGAGGGTCTCCCGGGCGGTGTTTTCAAACTTTGTTTCAACGTTATATTGCCATTTCCCTTTAACGTTTCCAAGAATAACACAACTCGATTAAATAATGGGGATGGCCCAATCAGCCAACCAATCCTGATGACGAGGTTGATATCCAACATAACTCAAAGTTCGTTCAGTTTTGTTACCAGTGATAATTACCAAATTGAAAGTAATCTATAAAATATTAATCGTTTTAGGAATCATTGAAACGCTTTCAAAATATCGATGTGCTGGTTTTAAACCACGTTTTGTATGAAGTAAAACGCTGGCAGGCGGACAGAAATTTCAATGACGTAGCAAAAGCATTTGATACCAACGTTCTGAGTTACATACACCTCACAACTTTATTCTTACCCAGTCTTCAAACATCGCGGGGCCGTCTGTTGGTTACTTCCTCTGGGCTAGGCGTGATAACGTATCCATATTTCGCCTTGTATTGCTCAAACAAACATGCTCTACATGGATTCTTTAACGCACTAAGGCAAGATTTGGCACTTGAGAAAAATGAAATGTCGATAACTTTAAGTGTACTGGGAGCAGTCGCGACTGACAATGCACTCAAAGTGAGCAGCGGTAATCCCGTGGCCGGTAGCAGCGGCTGGACTCGGCTCTCCTCTGATGATGCTTCACGTGCAGTCGTCGAGGCCTCGTTACATCGCGAGAGGCAAATATATTTTCCGAATTCCTTGAAGCTTCACGAATTTGCAAGTACACATTTTCCCGATTTTACTGAGCGGGTAATAAGATATGTCTATGGTTTGCATGTTTAAATGAAGTGGCGGGTTCTTTTCGAACTATTTAATTGGTGGTGCAATTTCCATTGTCCGAGGATATTGCTTTGTACATATAGACATAGCTAGTCTCAAATCTCGGAAAAACCAGTTATAGATTGCTATAACTTAGTATAGAAATTATATATAAATATATATAATATATCAAACTATAATTCACATCGATCGAGCCTTTATGGATGTATGTGAGGACTGTTCGTGTGTGATTAATGGAGGGATTGTTCCGCTTTTATAATTTTAAGAAATTGAGCTGGAAACCCTTTTCCGTATGACGAAGTAAATTGTAACGAATGAGTTTAGTTTAATTTAATATAATATAGTTATTAAGAAGTTAGACTAAAAGAGATGTGTCAATATTGACGCCTATACGAACTCGTGGAAGCACAAATAGAGACAATCAGGAGCAAAAATTATTGAGACAACTGCATAAATGCCCCCACCCCCAATTCAATGTTGTGTGAATAACTGAAAAGAGAAAAATCAACCCACTCTTTCCAACATTGATCATGGGGGCAGGGGGAGGCTGACGTACTTTAAAATGGCTAAAAACGTGAAAAGTCTCATTACAAAACGGTGGCTCAAACTGAATTTCCGGCGTTTGCGAACGAGAAAACGGCAAGTTGTTCGCTTTTCATAGCCTTTACAGGAGTTAAAAACACAATGAAAAAACTCTCACAAATTGTTTACAAGTTAGCAAATGAATTTTTAAATTTTAAAATGGCTAAAAACTGTATATATTTTTGAAAAAATAATCGGCCCAAAGAGCGAAGATAAAAACATAAACTAGTAATAATCTTAGATTAGTGAAGTGCGTTTAGTGTAGAGTAGACGTTATCCAAAATGTTAATATTGCATCATAGGGTAGTTATCAAAAGTGGGTCAGATTGGCTCATTTGGAAATAATTGGGGGTTTTTATTGCATCTACTTCTCTTTCCTGTTTTTCAAAGGCTGGCATAAAGCTACTCATTTCTGTTGTCTTATTGTACGTTAAACTTTGTCTTCAATGTTATCACTGGAAGGGCCTATATACTGTAAATCAGGCGATATAATTTCATGTGACCAAATATCGTTTTCAGACTCAGCTGTCATATCAGATGGAACACTACCAATATGGAGTGATTCTAAGGCAATGTTGATTGATAGTCACATTACTATAATGTGGATTATTCCTCAAAAGTCATAGCAATGCATGATGCACTTTTTCTCACTTCTAACCTTAACATACTTAAATGTGTTATCTTTAAATATACCCTTTATCTTAACTACAATAATAGACCCTGGGATATCTTGGCAAAATTGATGCAAGCTCTTCAACATGTTGCTTAAGGAGTCCAATACTCAAAAACATTGTGTGTTTTAATGCTATGATGTTCATCTTTGGTCAGTTATTAGGGCATGGTACCACCAGTGAACTCTAATAAGACTGGAACGATAACTCGGCCGCCATCTTTGAAGCCAAATTGAAGGCCGCCATGGACGGTAGGCGTCGAAAATACACCTCTTCGAAAAACTCGGATTTCTGCCTTTCTAGCTATGCTAGAACATAGATAAAAAACTTAAAAACATCTACGATACTTGGACTATTGCACAAATCATGTTTGGAAGCCGTGGAAAAGACTTAACGTTATTTTTTGTGTACCTGAAAGTCGTATTTTGTTCGGCACGGAAAATATTTTGTTATTTTCTTGAATACAAAAATGGTTCCTTTCAAGATTTTGCTGTTAGTGGATGTAGAATACTTAGAACTATCCGGAAAACCAAGTTTGAATCTTTGAAATTGAAATCTTCGGACGAAAAACTTAATTTTTCGGCGTATTTTTGCTAAAAAAACAAAATTACGAGGAAATTTAGCTCTCCCCAGTTCTTTTTTGAAAGTCACAGCGCGCGAACTTCTCCCGGGCGCCAAATCACAAATCGCAAATCAAGGTGGATTTCTACGGAAAAATCGATTTATTCACGTTTTAGAGAAGTCAAAAAGCACTCAAAATAAACAACTATACCTAGACGTTAATACAAAAAAGGTATTGGTCCGTAGACTTACGTTTTAAAGTTGTTTTTTTTAGTTAAAGAGCAAAGTTCACTTCGGCACGTTCAACTAGTGTCGTTTTTATGAAAACAAACCTGATACCCTTCAAATTTTTCCTGTTGTAGGATGCAAAGCAGTTCTAACTATCAAATAAATCGTATTTGGGTTTTTAAAATTGAAGTCTTTTGATGATATCTCAAGAAGTATGAATGATAAAAACCTAAAATAACTTTTATTTAATAGTATACTACATACTCTTGGGGATGAACTAGAACTATGGTGATTGAAGCAAAAATATTTTTTTTGCGGACAAAATATTGAAAATACATATTATCGGCATGATACTGACTATCACAACTTTAATGCTATTGCATATATTTTTATGATTCTAGTTCATCCCCAGGAGAATGCAATACAGAAGCTACACTGAAAGCTGGAAGTCAATACAGTAGCTTAAATACTTTTTGAGATATTGCGCATTCAATAACGGTCATTGGTGGTTTTCGGCAATTTGAGAAAAACTGCTTTAAAGTTGAACATATTGATTTTCAGAACAATATTGACCTACAATTGATGAATAAACGTTATGAATGGAACAGTTTAGTGTTAAAAGGCCCTGCCTCATTGGTATTGACTTCTGTTTCCTGATTGTTATCTTCCTCTTCTTTTTCTGGCCATGCACCACCTTCCTCCTCTTTTTGACATCCGGCTTGGCGCAATGATCTGCTTTCTTAACACACTTTTTATCAGCTTTGCAGACACCCTCTTCAAAGTAGTAGCCAAGAACTAGCCCATCTTGTTGTAAGATATCAACAGAAGCCCTTGAACCCATGTTGAAGTGAGCAACAGCGTCGTACACACCCAACTGCAGAACTTGCCTCCCACAAAAATTCTCTTTGGAAGCCTGTTCCAAATCATGCCGTTCAACGATTCGTTTTGGTTTTGAGTTTTTCCATCCAAACATTTGACCAACAAATCATTACTACTTAGTCTATCATAAATGGGCCTAATCTGAGCAATGATGTTGTCTGGAAGACCACGTCCACACTTATATAAATCAGTATTATTTGCCTTGTCTTGTTTAAAGCGGCACCAGCTGTCCGGACCATCAAGACACCAAGTATGTAAATTTCGCTTCTTTGATGAGACACGATGGATAATGCTGGCATAAATTGCAGCCTTCATTCCCTCCAAATTTCCACAATTACTTCTAATGGCAATGCCATAATAGTTTTGAAGTTTGTCGATCAAGGTGTCTGTCAATGGATTAAAGGAATACCGAATGGTTTTCCGTGCAGGATTGCGTGATCCATGCACGCGGGATGTTGCGAGACTTTCGGAAAGCGTAAAAATGCACGAGCCGTAGGCGAGTGTATTTTTACGCTTTCCGAAAGTCGAGCAACGTCCCAAGTGCATGGATCATGCTATCCTGCATGGGAAAACCACTTGGTAATTCGTGCGTGCATTTGCCCCCCTTGCCCCCCCTGTTATCAGTTATCGCTCATATTCGACGAGAGTGAGTGGAATAACTGTTTTATTATATACACAAGGTTAGATCTGAATTCACAGACTTTGCTTTTCGGATATTTTCAATATATTTCTATTTTGTTGCGTTCGACAAGGTGAACGCTTCCTAATCGTGACGTCACGACTGGATGCTGTGTCCTTTCGAGATTTTTTGGATGTAACATTTGCCTCGCTTTCGTGTTCATGGCATTTGCCTCGGTTTCCGGTTTCGTGCGGTTTCCGGTTTTTTGCCTCTCTGTTTCCATGTGCTTTTCATATTTTGCGAAGACAGAAGGAGATTTTAGCTGATTTTTTTTGGGTTTTTTCCTGCGGTTTATTGTAAGGTAATCAGTGGTGTTGTGTTATTTTTATTACACTTATCATTTATCAAAGCATCAAGAATTTGTCTTGCGGTGTTTTAATATCGATTGGCAATCCGGCATTTCAATTTGCTACCTTTTTTGTCAGCTAGAGTCACAGCAGATTTACAGTCGTGCCAATAGAAGCGTTCCGAAAAAATGTTGACCAGTTCATTTCCCAACTTCGAGGAGTTCCTCTGAACAATTCCTCAACAATTTGACAAGTTCCTTAAAAAGTTCCTAACTTCCTGTTTCATTGACCAATCAAATTTTATATTCTATTTTTGAGCAATCTGATTGGTCAATGAAACAGGAAGTTAGGAACTTTTTAAGGAACTTATCAAATTGTTGAGGAATTGTTCAGAGGAACTCCTCGAAGTTAGGAAACTCCTCGAAGTTAGGAAATGAACTGGTCAACATTTTTCGGAACCGGCTTCTATTGGTACGACTGTAACTTCGCTCTGCTTAATAAAGGGTTTGGATGCAAGTCCAGTATATTCTCTTTGGTCATTGAATGTTGAAGAAGTAAATATTGTGAGCATTTGAATTTGCAGAGTTGTGTTGACAAATATGAGTTTCAAAGAATGACAAATAAATACACAAATCCCAGTTTTAATATTTGGCTATATAGTATAGGTGGACACACAAATATACAAATCCCAATGAACCTAATCAGTAATCATAATATTCATAGACAAGCAGAACCGAGTTTTACTGACGAATTCAGCTGTATTTTTCATGAACATTTCTTGCCATGTTTGATTGCCAAAAATGACACGTGTGCTACCAATGAGAAACTTCTGATACTTTGATAAATTAGTCGGTTGGAACCTTTGTGTTTATATGGAAGCCGGGCTGGCCCGCTTGTGAGACAGCCCGGTAAGCGAGATGAATTTCTCTTATGTTAACAATTTTATTGTTTTAACAGTTGTTAAAAATAGCTTGTGGCGGTATCTTTGAACTTTCATCCCTGGAACTGGGCGAGCCCGCTTGCGACTGTTTATATGGAAGAAATTTCCATCCCGGTACGCGAGATCTCACCTCTTTCAAGTGAGATATCGGCAACTGGGCCATCCCGCTTGTCCAT